GCAACCACACATTCGTGTCTGTGTGGTAACTTAGTGGTTGTGCCTTTCCCTTGGGACTTAATCATTTGTTAGGAAGTTAGGATTAATGGTAAGAATAATTGTGAAATGGTAACATTTCTTTCATATTTTTATTCTTACATGGTTATTACTTGTTGACGTTAACTTAATATTAATTTTATAAATACGCCACCTGAAAAGAGGTAGTATATATCGACCCTATGTCGACACAAATTATAAAGTGTGTATACATGAATAGAGTATACTGCCAATATCCTTCCACTGTACATGTATTTTGAATTTCAAAACTAAATCATAACATTAAGTGCATTTATCACCTTGAATAAATAAATATATTCACTTATGAAATCAAACACACTGTGTGTGATGGAGAATCGTTTCTCGATTGTGGTAGAAATGATATTGACAATGTATGAATTTTCCGTAGTATACTATGTCATATTTTCAATCATTATTGGTTTGGAAGTTAAAAGTATTACTTGTAAAATCTGGTAACTTAAATAATTTTGTGTTTACTGTACATACTTGTTTAGGCTCCCAATAAACTACCTGTACATAGACAATTTACAAACACACAACACACCAACTATCGATATTATCGAAATACACCAGAAAAGGTAAAAAAGGGGAAAATGAACAAAATAAGAATTTTCAATGTTTAGAACTGATTTGGCCTTAACATTAAAGAAACTATACGACTATTCAATGTCAAATTCAAAATTGTGAAACCATAAAGCCCATTATTAAAGTATGGAAATAAAAGAACCTTTTCCTGGGATATTTTATATGACATATACATGAAAAATACGAATACAGTATTTAAACTCATGATTTGTTTAAATTTGTTTATTTATTGTAGACCTGTCATTAAAACACCTAATAGTCAAAATTGAATTGTTACAATATCATCCTCAGTTCGTCAGTCTGCAAAACGTACATAAAGATTCTCAGACTAATCCTACTTATTCGCAACCTCATCTCAGTCCAGTCCAGTCCACTCCAGTCTCGCAGCCATAACAAGAGGGCCAGTGTCTGGTTTGATGGTTAGTTTTACACCAGTTTTATCGTACATAAACTCACTGTTGTGACGCAGGATGGTTTACAGGCGATGGTTACCTCTTCATTCTCCATTGACTGTCTGGCTCATCATTTTGATGAGATTAGTCAAAAAAACTACAAAAGTCCAATACGTTGAAATGTTGTTTGATTAATTACCAAACTATATAGGTTAAGCTAATAATGTACTCCACTTAATATTTCTATATCCAAACGGGTTGAATAGCTTTCAAGCATAGTTTTTAATGTTTAATTTAAATAAACATTGAGAGAAGTTGGTGGTTCAAAGGTCGCACTCAATTTTATATTTGATATCATATAACAAAAAAAGTTTTGTTACTGAACTATTTATAGCAGAAAGCTGGTTGAAACAATTATTTGAGATTTTTCTCATAAAATAGGCTACACATTCAATTTTCATTTTTAACAATGATCTTTCCAAATTAAGACCAGTCAACAATACTGTACTCCCATAATTCATTTTTTAAGTTTCTAAACTGTTTTAGAGTAATCTGGCTAAGGGTATATAGAGCTTATAGCACCATTAAGTAACCAATAAGATGTGAGTCAAAAATTATTATATGTGTTGTAAAGTGGTCTGAGTCAGTTATAAATATAGCCTAACTGGTAAAAAACATTTACAGAAACATCGATCTTATAATTTAAAAGGCAAATATATTCTTGTTAATGTAACTATAAAAGTTGTTTTACCTGTCTTACGTGTAATGCTGGTAAGTAGCAATCGTACACTGTATGACTCATTTTCTGAGTATCAGTATTTTAAGTCAAGAGAATCATTCGGAACTAGTCCCAACTTAAATTACTAGATGTATCCTGGTTGTGACTTCAGCAATATTGAAAGCGATAAAGAATTTACTTCATTGAATACTTCCATTAGATTGTTGCCATATGTGTGATATTTTCCCACTAGTCCATATATCACATATAAATTAGCCGATAGTTTTCCCCAATAGCCAACACGTATCATTGGGGTCCCGCAGCGTCGAGGGGGAGGACCCCAGCGCTGTTTTGTGCCGAAAATGATCCACATAGAATCTAATTAGGTGGGGCCTCTGTGACGTCATGAGTTCGTTAACATAAATACATAATAAAAGATTCACTTAGGGGATCGATAGTGTTTGAGGCCCCGTGGGGCTGATTTGTCACGTAGGGAGATGACACCCCCACAAAGGGGGCATTGCGGTCCGAGTCAGTGGAGGCGTTGACGTGAACTGACGATGAAAACAAATTTGGAATATTGAACCAGTGGTGTACGGCCAGGAATACACGTTGAGTGGATAATAGCTGTGTGAATTTCTTAATTGAAGATAAAAGTGTGATTGTTTTCTTAACAGAGTTGGTGAATGCCTTCAAGTCGAAATTTGTAATGGTCATTTGGAGTTACAGTAGCGGGCGCACATGAAAAGAGCCCAAAAACTCAGGCAGACGCTTGAAAAGCGCCCGGACCTCCAAGGTCCCTCCCAGGACGGTGCGAAAAGAGCCCAGACTCTTCCTAGAACTTTCACAACGGGTATTCAAAGGAGGAAGAACCATTAACACAGTTGAAATACATGAATTTATTTACGATATTAAAAGATATACTGTTAAAAGATACATTATTAAAATACAGATTATTAAAAGATATTTACATTACTAAAAGAAATAGTCTGTTTATCTAACCTAACCTAACCTAACCTAACTTAACCTAACCTAACCCAACCAAACACAACACTATTTCAGAACACGAGTCAGCGTCCTCTTCCTCAGGTACCTGTGGAGACTCGGGCTCTTTCCATGCTTAAGATTTGTGAACCTTTTTGGGGATTAACATTTCGGGCTCTTTTCATGTGCTCCGACAGTAGCAGTGGTACCCGACTGGAAACTTGTTTATTTGATCTAATTGAACTAAAAAATGCATGCAATGTTTATTGAAAACTCTTTTGAAAACCATAAATTGCTGATAGAGAGAAATCATTTTTTTAGGGGGCTTCATTATTCGATTACGTAATGCACTACCAGTATCTAAACTTGAAAGTTGGTTAGGTAAGACTGAAACAAGATCCCGCCAATATAACTAACACTATATCATTCTAAAACACTGTCCAAGCGTTCTACTTCGAGACGCAATAAATTGCTGATATCTCAACAAACGGAATCCTAGCCCAATTTAGTCCAAAAATCATTACGAAACAGAACCAGATATTGAACTATCCAACGAACAGATTAAGACGTCCTTCACCCTACAGACGATTTCTTCTTTCATTTTTCTCGATCATGGAATCTACACACCGTTTTGTCAAGCCCAAACTTGAAACAACTTCACTATACTTCCAGTTTCTTGTTCAGGTGTTGGCTGGTCAATTAAGTGGCGGAGTCGTCCCCTAAATCAGTTCTACTAATGAACCCCTAATCTGATGGAGGATTTCTACCATCTGTGAGGAATGTGAATACGTCGGTGTGTCTGTCGGATTATCAGCTATTAACAACGGAGATGGATTGCTCGAGATCGACGCATCTCAAAGTCATCCCGCTTTTGGGGATTTGGAGATCGCATCAGGCGGAAATCCTTATATCGGGTTTAGAATTCGGTTTCGGGTTTGAGCTTTCGAAAGCCTTTCAATCAAGGAACGTGTTACGTTCTAAGTTTTTTCTGTAATCAATACCAACTTGTTTTTTTAATCACCATTGGATTTTGTTACGTTATAAGAAAACTGCCATCACTATGGGTTTGTTACTATAAAATAGAACGTCAACCTTTTGTTGTATAGGATCATTAATTGGTAGAAATTATATGTGGGTTCAGAATAGATGTTATTCGAGATCCAAGAACTTAGTATCCATAGAAGATTTGAAGGGTGACGTGATAATCTCTCTGCTGACCATAGTTTAGACACTGCAAAAAGCTTACATGTTTTAAAATTTCAAGAATGCGTTACTTTCAAAGGTGTGTTTATGAACACTAAACGTTTTTCTCTTCTTTGAAGTAATGTTTTACATCTTTGTGATTACTGTTTTGTTATTGCGTGGGACTGTAATTAATTGTTATCAAAATTTCCATTGTGATTTATTTAAGTAGTTTTAAAGTTGGAAAGATACGGTGGAAGGGAGCATTTACATAGCAATTATAGTTTCACTTACACTACCTTTCTACCCCTTATAATATATACATAAGCACCAAGGATATGCTGTGTTGGTAGTTACTTTTTAATTAAATTTACCTCATTGTGATAAGACTAACTAAAAAAATGTTCCATTACATTTTCCCAATAATCTGAAACAATAATTCAACAATTATAAACAAAACAATCAATTATTTTTTTTACGTACCTTAATATTTGGTCAACTAGGAAAAAAATTATAGGATGAAGAAATAACGCTAGATTTTACTTGATAAGAATACAATTTTATTTTTAGTAATAAGTTAAGGGTTTTTTGTTTATGTAGCTGTTTTTGTTTTTATTATTTTATTATCTGACACGACCGTGAATTTTTAACTTAAGATCTTCGTTTTTTTTTAAAGCTTCTTTTCAACTCATTGAGGCTGTTAGTAAATCTAATTTACATAAATAAACAAAAACACAGATTATTTACTAACGTGAAAACAATACACTCAACGAATCGCTAGAAATACTGAGCACATTGCTTACAATTTATCAATTCAATTACAAAATTATAATCAACGCGGCAAGGTTGTAGAACATAACAGGTGATACGTTGGTCCATTGAACTCCGCGGCGCTCTCCGCTCTCACTCTAGTATGCAGCCAGTGTCTGCGCGCTCCCTCTCTCTCTCTCCCGCCTTATTACAATTGCTAATGCGCGTCCTCTACTGTATCTCATTCATACTTTTGCATACACAAGTCCTTTTTAACATGCAAAGGCTGTCTAGCCCTGCTAGCTGAGTCCGGGAGTCAGTTCCACGCCGGCACCACACAGTTCAGGACGTGTTTCACACAATGGCTGACGCTTTTGGAGGGAAATAGTGCAATAGTTTTGCGACGTGGCCGCGTGGCGTCGTTCCCGCCATTTGGACCACCATGTTGGCCAGTTTGAGGTTATGTACGGTCAAAATTTCAAGTTCTGCGTAAGTTCCCCCGGAAACGATCGCGGAAGGTAAAACGTGTGAGTCACGTGTTTTGAAGGTTTTCAAAACATTATTTTTTCGTTTCTGATTTGGACAACGAAAAAAATAAAGTTTCTAACCTCAAAAAACGTCCAGAGATTACGCGGGAGCTGTGAAAGAACTGTGTCAAACATGTTTTTTTACCTTCCACGCAACTCGAATCACCTGTTCGTAGCGATTCCAGCGACGTCCCAGAAGGAGAGACCACGGACCGAAGAGGAGCGCGTCGTGAGCAGGTCTAGCCCGGAGTAGAAGCAGACGACGCCAGGACAGGGTGCGAGCGAGCCCACGCACGCTGGAGGGCGGGGCAATGACGTCACAGACCAGCTGACTGGTAAGCCTAGTTATTGTTCACAGACCACGTGACATTGTTTATAATGGCTTAATTTGTATGCCTTTGGAAATCTAATAGGTGAGCTGGCTCCAATCATGATTTTAGTGGATGACACTGCGGTTTGGGACTTGGAAAATTTTTGTGAAATAAATAAAAACTTTTACTTTGGTCTTTGTTAACTTTTTATGTTCTTTATTGTCCACAAGTTATGGGGTTTTAGGGTTTATGATGAGTTGTAGGTAAAAATGATATTTCATGATTATAAGTTGATATATTATTTTTAATTTGAAATATTTGTATGCAAACATATTTCACATGCACTTGACTTAACAATTTAAAGTCAGAAGTTCAATCTACCTTTACTATTACTTTTGCTTTTAAATACATACTCTTTGTAAATTATTACTTTAGTACGTTAACTTGGCAAATTTGTATTAACTCTCATAAATATTCTAGCATTGACTAATATTCAAAGATTCTTGTTATTTTTCTAATGTTACATAAACAAGGAAAACCTCTTTTAATATACGAGCAGTTAAACATTATCTTAATATTATTTATGCTTGTAAAGTTTTTGGTTTTATAAACTTAAAGCTCGAGTTTGATAAACCTTTCTACAAACATGACGTTATTGTTAATGATTGTTCACTGACATCCCTTTGACATATTTACAATGCACTGAGTGTTGATTATTTAGGCTATTCTAAATTGTAATACTGTATAGCCTACTTTAATTTAATTCTGCTATACATGGAGATAATAGGCTTTTAGTAAATTTAATCAAGTTTTGTTTGTAATATAATGCATTTGTGTTCTATGCATCCATTTAATATATTTGCTGATTATATAGGAAAATTTAAAATGAATGTCTACCATATGTATCTCATATTACTTTAGTGACTGACATGGATAAACTGATATGAACCACAACAAGTCTTGGGCTACTACTATTGTTACTCCTCTTTCAAATTCCATAAATGGAAAAAATAGCTCAAGTAAATAAAATTATTTTGGTTTTTAAAAATTGGATTTGCTTGTTTGTATTTAATTACAAACTTTAAAACCAGCTGCACAATATCAATATCAATAGTGTTGTATATCTTTATCCTCTACTTAACTTTTCTACTCATATTTTCAACTATATCTTATTTATTATTTATCATCGTTTCTGTGCATCAATAAATATGGCAAAATTTGTTGACTGAAAACTTCTAAAACCTTTGGTTGGAAATCCACAAAATGATTAGCTTTGTTCACCAGCGTAGCTATTATTCATGGGAAAACATTTCCAAGTTTGGCTAATATTAAATGGATAAAAATGCCACTGCACTAAATTCTACCTAATTCATTTTACAGTCCTATAAACTGCACTATGCACTCGAGAATATTTTAGGATTATAGGTTTGTTCAAATATCTTGAATTTCGTAACAACATAGTCAAGATTCAGCCATTATAATGAAATGCAACGTCCATCATGTGAAACGAAAACACAACTGAATACACATTGTTTATATACTATTTGAATTATAAAAAGTGTGATTCAGATCTAGGTTAATTCTTGTAAACAATCCATTCTTTTTCTTAACATCTGAAGGCTCACGATGGACCTGGGGTGTAATATATTATTCTGTGCATAATAAATATTTATTTTTATTTCGTTAAACAAATAAATAATTTACAGCTACGTTAATCAATAGCTTTCAATAATGACATAATTAGTTCTACAAAATTGTATTCAAAGGATTCTAAACACAATTGTAGGCTCAAACACTAAAAATAAGGATTACAACTGTTGAAATATACAAAAATTACTATGGGTGGGGAAGGAATAAAAAAATATGTATCTATAAACGGGTTAAATGATGAAAATGTGTATATTGAAAGATAATTATATAATAAATAAGGAGCTGTATACATCCTGGTACATACATTTGCAGCTTAAGAAAAAAATTGTTTTGGCAAAACTTCACTTACAGTGCGAACATACAAGCTTAGGTGTAAGACGATATTTTGGCACACGTTTCCGAATATTTCTTATCTTTCTAGTGTCAACGTTGGCATGTAGACTAGATAATAAAGTAAACAATTATTTATTTTTGCCGACAAATTAGTATCAGGATTACTTTATGACTGTCCTTTAAACCCAAAGTGAACTTAATACCTAAAATCCCATAAAAAAAAAATAATAAAACAATTCATAGCATTTCTAAAACCATATATCATATAGTATTTCATTGTATTGTATTAATGTTGTGTTGTGAGCAGCTAGTGGGTATCGTAGCCTAGAATAATAATATATGTCATGAATTTGTTCTATGTATTGTGTGGATTGTGTTGTATTGTATATTATGAGCCAGAATACGAGTGTGGTGTACTGTCGACTGCATCCCCATCTCAACCAGTTATGTTATGTATTGTGTTTGTGGTATCGTTGTATTGTGTTGTGTTGTGTTTTGTTTTGTTGTGATCCAGCGCGCGAGTGTGGTGTACTGTCGACTGCATCACCATCTCAACCAGTTTTATGTATTGTGTTTGTGGTATCGTTGTATTGTGTTGTGTTGTGTTGTGTTGTGTTTTGTTGTGAGCCAGCGCGCGAGTGTGGTGTACTGTCGACTGCATCACCATCTCAACCAGTTATGTTATGTATTGTGTTTGTGGTATCGTTGTATCGTGTTGTGTTGTGTTTTGTTGTGAACCAGCGCGCGAGTGTGGTGTACTGTCGACTGTATCACCATCTCAACCAGTTATGTTATGAATTGTGTTTGTGGTATCGTTGTATTGTGTTGTATTGTGTTGTGTTGTGTTTTGTTGTGAGCCAACGCGCGAGTGTGGTGTACTGTCGACTGCATTCCCATCTCAACCAGTTATGTTATGTATTGTGTTTGTGGTATCGTTGTATCGTGTTGTGTTGTGTTTTGTTGTGAACCAGCGCGCGAGTGTGGTGTACTGTCGACTGTATCACCATCTCAACCAGTTATGTTATGAATTGTGTTTGTGGTATCGTTGTATTGTGTTGTATTGTGTTGTGTTGTGTTTTGTTGTGAGCCAGCGCACGAGTGGTGTACTGTCGACTGTATCACCATCTCAACCAGTTATGTTATGTATTGTGTTTGCGGTATCGTTGTATTGTGTTGTGTTGTGTTTTGTTGTGAGCCAGCGCGCGAGTGTGGGCGCCGTCAACCGCATCTCCGGCTTAGCCAATTATGCAATTGTTCCAACGAGCGAAGTTATTTAATTAGCCACAACAAGGCATTGCCCTTGATTTCTCAATTACTTTGCCGTAACCTTGCCTTGAACTTAACACTAGTAACTCTACTGACTATACTCCTTTACCATCACACTTCCTAACCATACTATTAGCACTATGAGGATTTTTTTTTGAAATTATGGTAAATCTAGTAACCAACAAACAGGTCTCGTGGAATAAAACCATTTACCAAAATTTTAATAAACAGAAAAGAACAAATTTTTTTTAGAAATTTTATCCACGTACAGTATTTTTTTTATCTACGCCCTTTGACATCCATGGAATTCCCAATTTGGTGGAACTAGGTACAGTATTCAAAACAAAAGTGCCAAATACTTTTAACATTGGTGGATTACTGTAGAGTGTTTTGGAAAGTAGTTCCACAATTCAAGACACCAAAAACTAGCCCAGTATTTTTATCAATTCCACGAAAAGGCCATTTGCCCCGAAGACCAATATTTGAAAGCTTTTTGCCTGTATGGGCCATATTTTAGTTCGTTATGTTGGTTGCGTTCTTCAACCTATGTAACTCTAAATATAGGCAATGAACCCTTTTCTCAAAACTTATAACTCACTTCCCTCCTTTTTCTAATTCCCGAAGCAGACCAATCGGTATCGCCTTTTTCTCTTTTCGCCCAACTCTCCTTTAGCCTCTAGGTGAAGCTAGATCGCGGACCCCATCCAGCAATCCTTCATTACAGAATCAATCAGCCTAAGGTATCATTACCCGACTTTGGAGCAGTCCAAAGTCTCTGCCTCGGGGATCGGCGTGGCTAATAATAATCGAGTCGATAAATCTTATACATCACCGCCATCTTTGTTTATTGGTAAACGGCAGCCGACGCCCGCAGGAGCCGGACAGCTTTTTCTCAGATCGCATTATCGGTCAGATGGTTCCAGCTTTTTCCACTATGACTCCATATAGTTTATGACATGTGTTGGATGCTGAGTCTTCTTGATTGTTGTGGTCAAAAAGTTACCGATTATTGCTTGCTGACGTATGATTTTAGAGAATTCTGGGTATGCTGGGATAGGTGATTCAGTTTTCATTGAAGCTGAAGCTCTTGTAAAGGGTTTTCAAAGACTGTTGTTTGAAAGGTTGAATAAATGAGAATTCCTGCTTGAATAAAACACTGTAAGATAATTAATTGATAGAATTACTAACAAATTACCTTTGAGGCAACGTAACATGTAATTTTTAAAAAGAAAGTTTGGCATACCAAAATGCGAATTCGACAAATCCGAGTGTTAAAGTGTACAAAGCAAAAATATTACAACATATTTCTTTTAGTTTGTGATATCTCTGGGCACTATGACTATAATACAAAGCTAATAAAACAGAATGAATGAATGAATGAATGAATGAAAAAAGTGCTTTATTGTACAAATTACATAATAGTCTACCTCCATATGTGCAACATATACAACACTAACTTGCACATAAATTAAAATACATAGGTACTGGTAAAAATAAAAATCTAACACTTATTAAACAATGGTCAATGTTGACCGTCTGTTTGGTTGGCTACATAAATACCTTCTCCTTAACAAAAAACAATTCCAACTGTACAGTAATATAACAGAAAAAAATCATTTATACACTTTTAACTTCATTTACAAAAACATTTTTTTATATATATATACATATGGTAAAAAACAATTAAATAAGTAACTTCTAACTATGGTATATGCAGCAGAGAGTCGTATTAAAAATTAAATTCTTGGATTAAATCCCATCTATAATAAAACAGG